GTTGTAAATATTACATAATGTATTATAATTAGTTGTAATCAGAAAATATTACTTGACAAAACAAAACAAGCAGATTACTATAGGTTGAAAATAATGTTAATAATATAGCAAGCCAAATAGCAATATTACAATAATATACAGAAAGTAAGAAATGAAAACCCCTATCACATATTTAATTACTCATCTGCAAATTTAAAACCTTCAAAAACAAAGTCCTATTCTAAACTTGGTGGTGGGAAGTGTGCTCGAATACAACTAACTGCACAAGATGGCAAGGGGACCCTTATCTCTTTGCCTAATATATCCCCAGTTTGTGCTGCTTCTTGGTTTATAGAAACACAAGTTGGGATCTCTTGGCAGCAAATACTTTCTTCTTCCCTATCCATTATTTGGCATTGAGTACAAAGGCACCTACATGCATAAAGCCAAGTTCCAATTTAATCATAAGTTAATTTGGGCTAAACCAAGTTAATTTGGGCTAAAGCATAGCAGTTGAATTTACGATTTTTAGCCATAGTTGGTTCAACTTCAACCACGAAATTCAATGTATAAAATATTACATAATAAAGTTTTTAATACATTTTTTACCTTTACTTGAAGTACAAACATAATAATAATGCCGCCCATAATAATGTATAGTTGTGCATGTTGCTGAAAAAACTTAACCTACATATCTACAACATAAATAATAGAAGCAAATTTAGTAAATAATTACCAGTTCGTGTCCTGAAGTCTGGTGGTTTTGTCAGAACTTGACGAAGATTCCGAAGCCATTTGGTTCAAACGCGTATGATTGAATCATGTTTACGTCTCTTTCGACGTTCATATTTTCGCTATAACTCGATCCACTGCTTCCAGAACCATCGCTCGAAGATTCGTTTGAGTAATCAATATCCATTTCTCTTCATACAGTATTTTTCTTAAATTTATAAATAATTAAATACTATTTCGTCTTTGTTTACATGTGCCTGTATTAAAAGCCAACCGCGCAATGACGTCACAAGGTAAAACCGCTGCGTGGTCGCAGCTTCGCTGTGATGTACAAAATGGCGGCTGCGTTATATGTAAATTTTAGCACATTTATCGCTTTATTTCTCGACTTGGTTATAACTTGGAGATGTGGGACTTTGCGTGAGAGGTAAGCATTATATGATCTTTCATATTAGCCTAAGTTGTTCTGAACTCTGACTTCCCCTTTAAAAAGAATAAACCATAATCTTTGGCATTTTGAATTGCTGTTACAAGATTTTCTTGTTGGTATCTGCAAACTCCTGGATATGACATTAACCCAAATGTTACATAATTGTTACAAATATGGAGGTCCAGTGTAGCATTCTACAATAAGCTGTCGTGGTTTGTGTCTGAACTACCAGAAAAACATATCTGAAACATGGTGGTCCAGTGTAGGTACTAGGTAGTATTCTACAATAAACTGCCATGGTTTGTGTCTGAACTACCATACTTAAAAAAGTATTTCAAATGTGGGGTAGAGTATGGGTAGTATTCCTTGAACATATACCTGTTTTAGAAGCCTCAAACACTTCACCCGTATGGGGAGATATAAACTGTGACAACAAGTCAACATCCTATTTGGAGTATGGAGAAACGAAAATTTAGTAAACATCGCATATAATGAAAGATGATGCAATTTAAAATCAGCTAGTGTGTAAGTTTTTGATTAAAAAACAAATCTTTAATAAACCTTATAGTCAAGTTTATATTCACCAGCCAAGTACAGTCGACATATTGGACAGGGATTGCCAGAGACTATTTGAGACTCACCCTTGCCTCTCTGAAAAACAAATGAATAAAGAACATAGTTAAATATATTGGCTAAATTATCACTCAATTATGCTGCACAATTTCTGAACTATTCTGTACCTTTATTGGATGAAAATATTATAGTAAAAATAGACATTGATTGAACAAAATGTAAAATGTATTATTATTATTGTCACTGACAGTGTCTGTTTATGCATATATATTCCTGTTTCTATTTCCAACTATTCCATCCAACACTCATTCAAATTCATCCGGTGAGATGAAGTCATGCATATGACAAATGTTATGTTGAGTTTCCCCATTACAGTATATCCAGCCTCATACTTTAATAATTTTGTTTTTTTCAGTGACCTTACTCAAGGTCACAGAGTGGCAGCGAAGCTGAATGCTGGAGGATGTTGGATAAATACATACAACATATTTCGACCACAGTTCCCTTCTGGGGGCTTCAAGATGTCTGGTATCGGCCGGGAGAGTGGGTACGAGGGATTCGACGCATACACACAGAGCAAAGTAGTTTATGTCGGCAATGGGAATGTGGAGACACCTTTTAGGAAAGTAGACTATTAGAGTGAGGCGGTTTCTACAAAAACCCGAAAACTGACAAAAAAAAAACCGAGTGAACAGTTTTTTTTTAAAAAAATACGTTCGAAAATCGAAACTACAGTACAGTACAAAAGACACAACACACTATACTCAGTACTCACACAAGATATTAAACGTATGGTATTTTGAAGACGTTATCAAATTTCAAACAAACTTTCTTTAGTTTTTTGTGTGTAAATGCCGAAACAAACTCGTATAAGTATGGTTCGATTTTAGTAAAATACCAATTTTTCTTCGGGTTTTTTTCCGGTTTTTCTCCAAAAGTAACATTGAGTATTTCGGTTTTCAAAAAAACATCAGTTTTCTTGGTTTACCAAAAAATCGCCTCACCCTATAGATTATTTGGTCTATCGATCAACATGATGAATGTTCTAGAAAAAGTTTAGTCAGCATCACTTGCATTTGATGCCGGACAGCGATTGATAAAACATTGCCTAATTTCATGCATGTTAATGTCAAGAATATTAATTCGAAGGTTCAACTTATTGCCATAAATAGACAATATATGTTTTTACTGTAACTGTCATTTCCATCCTTGGATGCAAAAAAGAACAGAATGTAAAGATATGGGCATCTCTCATAAGCAGACACCTCTGAAAACAACGGAACATCAAAGTTGAGGACATGCGTAGCCACAGTGCAATAAAATGGCATTATTCCTGAGAAACGAGAGTTTCAGGCTGACTGTTTAATGCTGTAGTGATGTAATCCAGCTGGCTTTACATTTGATTAATGATTTAGTGTATCATGTAGTTTACCTATCATGTTCTTTTCTTTTTCTTCTTTGGTGTTTCATTACTGTTCTTCTGGGACTTTTTACCTTTCTTTTTTGATTTTTCTGAACTAGCAGTTGCTGATCTCTTTAACTTTGTCTTTGATCCTCTTTTCCTATTTGATGTTTCTTTATCGTTTTCTAAAGTACCATGATAAATGATGTTAAATTAACTGCAGTACAAACTGCTATTACATTCTACTCAATCTTTACTATACCAGTATTCATGTTTATTGAAGTGAAGGAACTGATTCAGAAGAAAACGCCAGAATAGCTAGCATGGTCTATATTAAAGACATTTGCTAGTTTGGGAACAAGTGATACATGTATCAGATATTTTTCTCCATGATAGTTAGTGGCGGACACTGGGGGGGGGGGGGGG